TAATAGTTATTTACTAATATATACCTAGAGTGGGAAAGACTATGTTTAGTCAAGAAAACCCATGTTGAATTAAGTGATGTGATAGAAATGGCTGCAAAGGCTTTTTTAAAGGCGTTAAAATAGTAGCTTTCTTTTGTCTCTTTCGAAAACCCATGCTCATTACAAATCATGATACTTTTACTCTCGTCTACGGCCATATCCAGCATAAAGCATGATTACCCGTCCGATCAATAATTATTAAGCTGCTGAGAGCGATGCTGAGTACGTTAGTGGGAGACCATAATGGAAACCATCGTGCTGTAGACTCTTCTTTTTTGTGAATTAGTCTTATTTTTTTGTGTAGTTGAACTTTTGATGTAATTTTTTGAGCTTCAATTAACAATTTTCATTTTTGCAACAATACAATAAGCTTTAATGAAGCTGTAACAAAGTAATGAAAGGTCTATTTCATGTAATGTAGTTTCACCTTCATAAGAAAAAGTTGAAATTCACAATTTTATTGAATTCTGTTGAATAATTGATTTTTTTTTTGCAACAAATTGCAGCAAAAACTGACAAATGAGCGGAATTCAAAAAAAATTGCATAATTTACAAACATCAATATTCCTTTCAGTCTGATGCTAGTCAGTTGTCAGGGTATGTCCTTATTCACTTAAATTAAGTTTGGAGTGTCTTATATATCAGCTTAAAAGATTCTACAATCTGGTAATTGAAGAACTAGTCGATATCGTCTTGTGGGTCCAATTTCTGCTAAGAGGAAACATAGGTAAAACATAGGTAAAACAAGATAAGACAATAAGGTTTCAAGTAGTGTTGGTATACTGAAAACCGTTATGGGTAAACCTGTAATATGTGTTCAAAGTGTAAGGTTTAATATATCTAGTGTTCAAATCGTCAACCTCTGCAATAATAAAAGTATAGTAATATTGGCGACGACCGCCTTATGATATTGTGATTTCATTTATAAGCACCATAGCAGTAAAAGGCAGGACGACGTTACTGCAAAATAAGAAAGCTACTAACTTTATCCTTATGTATACATCGTGTAGTACAATGCAGATTAGCTTCCCTATTTTACAGTCTGTATTTCATATTCACAGTTTATTTTATTGTTGCAAAATTTTCAACTTCAATACCTTGACAACTAAATGATCCTCGTTACTCCAATAACCACGACCATGATCTTAAGATAATGTTCCTTGTCAAGGTATTAATTAAGTCTTTACTACTCATTTCATCTGTTTCTTGCTATAAATATTGTCTAATATTTCAGCTGTAATAGGGTACCTTGCCTATTTTACAGCTTGTGTTTTACTTTTATAATTTTGAAAGGGATCATTGTAAACAGGTTGCTGAGAAGGTCCACTACAAATTTAGCCACCGCTAACTGGACAATTCAGTCTATTGGAGAACTCGGGCCATTAAAGATACACTATACGCGCTGTAACAGTTCCGTGGATCTGTTCTTACAGGTTTCGTAAACTAAACCTGTGTGTTTCAGAATCTACCTTTTATCTCTACTTTTGGAAGTTACAAACGTACTTGTTCCCACAGTTGTAATTATATTACGCTTCAACTATGAGTATTTCCTATATTTCTTCTAACTAAATGATTAATATATATAGAGACTAATCTCTATTGAGAACGTTACTCATTTTCTCCTATTTTCTCTAAGCTATTCTTATCTTATCAAGCCCTCTTAAATATCTATCAATACATATTTACAGCTTGAACAACACTTAAATATTACACGGACTGTTGAATATATTGAGTAGGTTGTCTCAACTACAGGGGATTTATTGTCTATCGTCTGATTAAAAATCATACAACTTATTAACTGCTACTTACTTTTCATCCTTAATCTGTGACCCTTTTGCTCTAAGGCTCGAATTACAATTCTTTATACTCTTTTTGCAAAGAAGCTGATGCCCAGTGTTAGATTCTTCCCTAGAACAAGAGTGAATCAAACATGAGTAGAACAAATAATTCCCATCAGGCTCATCCTCAGAACAACAGAAGAGCTGGTATTAGCGCTGCATTGGTCCTTTTCTCTACTTGCACCAGTTTATTATTCAATACTGCTACTAGTGATAACTCTTCCCTTTGGACATCGCTTCTTCAAACAAGCCCGGAATTGTTTAAAGATAATGAACTCCAATTATCGTTATTCTTGCTGCAACCTCAATCCGTTTGGAAAGTTTTTCAGTTGTTACCTTTTGAAGTCAAAATGTGTTCTTTCATCTTCTTGAATTTAAGTTTTTACTTTACTATATCTCTCCTTCTCAGCTTGTTGTCAAAACATCTTTTGAATATTCAGAGCTACTTCCCTCATTCTTCACCTACACCTAGTAACACTTGGTCTTCTCGACCATACAAGTTACCAGGGTTGAAACGTAATCGCAATTCAGTTGATGGACTCTGTTCTTATTTGAATGTATCTTTCCACAAAAAATCTTTCCATGCTGCTAGTTTCAAATCCAATCTAAAGGCTTTAAAAAGTCCGTTGGCTAAATATATCTTACGCAAATATAAAAGATTCATACCCTTTCAGATTTGAAGCAAGTCATCCTTCATTATAATAGCAACGACGTTGATCTCGAATGTCAAGTTCAATTGGAAAGTATCGCCGAGCTCTCCACTCCTACCAATACTCCCACCCTTCGTGCCTTCTTTTTAGAACTCTCTGAGAGTCAGTATTTAAGTTTTACCGACCTCCATCAAACCTTCCACCTCCATGTCATATTAGGCCATCTTGCTTCTCTTACTCCTCTTCATGGCTTTCTTATGAAAAAACTTGCCCAATACGAACATCAAGATTTTCCTATCTTTTGCTATCATTTAAGTCGTACTATCCATTATCCTGGTAATAAACCTAAAATTACTAGAAACGAATTCAAATCTCATCAGATTCATGCTTTGGTTGAACGATTAACCTCGTTTAAATATCCTAGCTGCCCTCCTCGTCGACAAAACGACTACCGTATCCAATTGGTTGACAATGCTCATTTTGACAAACCAGGACCATTACCAAAGTATTCCTTACTGGATCAAAAGACTTTAAAAGAAATCGTGCTGCAACACGTTAAAAATCAAATCATTGAGCCTGTTCCACAACAGGACTTCTACTCAGTCCCTTTAATCGTTAATAAATCACATTCCACCGAAAGAAGAATGATCATTGATTACAGAAATCTTAATCAACAAACCGTTTCTCTTCCAACTACACTTACTCCATTTCAGGAGATTATTGCTGATATAGGCCATCCTCACGTTTATTCTACCCTTAACTTATCTAATGCGTATCATAATTTACGTATCCATGATGATACCAAACCTTATACTGTTTTCAAAACTCCTTGGGGGTTTTATCAATTCAAAGTGCTTCCATGGGGTTTATCAAACCTGCCAGAAATTTTCAATAGATTTATCAGAAATATTCTCCGACCTTTCCTGAGCTTTTGCCGCTCATACTTGGATGATATTTTGATATTCTCTAACTCTTTCGAAGAACATATTCTACATTTAGAAGCAGTCTTATCTGCTTTGCAGGTGAATAATTTACCTTTAAATCAAAAGAAATCGGTCATTGGCCAATGTGATGTTGAATGGCTCGGCCATACGCTTTCTGTAAAAGGTATTTATCCCTCTTCTTCTTCTATCACCACTATTCAGCAAATATCTGTTCCTCGCTGTAAGAAAGACATTCGATATTTTCTTGGTCATACTGGTTATCTTAATGATTTTATTCCTAATTACTCTCAAATTACCACTCCTCTTACTGACCTTCTCCGTAAAGAAGTTAAATTTAATTGGAACACAGAATGTCAAGAAGCTTTTAACAAGTTAAAAAATGATCTTAATGATCAATTAACTTTACATTTTTTCGATCATAATCTCCCAACTAAAATCTCTTGTGATGCCAGTGATTATGCTATCGGTATGGCTTTATGGCAAAAAAACATAGATAGTGATCCATTAAATGATGATTCCTGGTACCCTATTTGTTTTAAATCTCAAATACTTAAACCTGAACAATGCCGTTGGCCAACTATCGATAAGGAATTATGTGCTGTAAACATAGTTCTTAAGAAGTTTAACTTTTATGTCGATTCTATTCCCATCCTACTCTATACGAGCTATAAACCTATCGTTGATATTTTTGATTCCACAACTGTAACTCCTAAACAGGATCGCTGGCAAGATGAGATTAAACAATATAATATTTCTATAAATTATTTGCCTAGTAAAGCAAACCCCGTCGTTGATTATTTGAATAGAGACCTCGACCCACAACCCCAGATACTCTGATTTAATTCATAGGTCCATACCAATTGTATATTATCGAAAATTCTTACATATTTTATAACTTTCTAAACGAAACGTTCAGCCATTCATATCACCTTAGAGTCTTCGAAGACATACCTTATTTTCTATTTCTATATAGGTGAACCATGACTGTGAAAAAAATACATTATTTTAATTTAAGACAGAATATCTTCTACTCTGTAATATAAAATCAAACATTAAAAATAAGAGTAAATATGTTTTTGCATTCCAGAAGCGAGTTAGTACCGACTCATGGTGATTGATAAATTTCTTGTTTGAGCGCTTGAATAATCGTTCCCATCTGACGTTTGTATAAACCGAATCTTGCTTGATACACTGCCACTTTAATTGGATCTCAGCCCACCTTTCCAACACAGGTCGAATGCAATAAATCGACTCAGAGTCTAATCAAGCCCATAGCTATCTTTCTTAAGTAGATGAATCTATATCATTTTGATACATCAGCTAAATGAACTATGGTGAAAAAAATCTTTGGGAGTATTTTCCTTTAATGAAAAGCAAACTACAACAACAATAAAGGCCCCTTTCAAAGATAAACCTCTTAAAACCCAAAAAACAGCCCATTTGAAGAATTTATAATAAAAACACCAATTTTCATCTGGATTTTGCCCTTATTTTCACAAAGGCACCGGAGCAAAAAAATTCATCAAATAGGGCGTGTGGTCTAGTGGTATGATTCTCGCTTTGGGCGACTGTTCAGTACACTGAACGGAACAACACTAAGCATGCGAGAGGCCCTGGGTTCAATTCCCAGCTCGCCCCATTTTTTTGAATTTTTTTTATCCTCTCACTTTATCGCTGATAATTTAATTGTCTCGTAGAATTAATTAGAAGGAGTTTTTTTTTAAAGTCGAAAGAAGAACAGCAGATAGTCGTGTAAATACAGTTGAAGCCATACAAAAAAAAATTGGCAAGCCGAAGAATATAGAAATCAACCTTGAATTAAAGCATAGGCAGGTTTTAGATAAGAGCAAGTTCCAATAGAAAGGAATCAGGCTAGTTGTTCAAGTGAAAAATTGATTAGTGAGGCGGTACGGAATTTTCAATTTGAAAAGAACAAACCAGTTGGCAAATATTTGCCATATAATTTTTTTAAAATACCATTAGATTAATTGATCAAACTTAGCCATGTCATATACTAAGGAACAGGAAACCATAGTGTTGAAGGTTTTATCTTATAAACCCCACCAATTCTATGAGATATTATCTGTTAGTAAGACATCTAATGATAATGAGATTAAGAAATCATATCGAAAATTGGCAGTCAAGTTACATCCAGATAAGAATCCCCATCCAAGAGCCAGTGAAGCATTTAAGTATTTGAATAAGGCATGGAGTGTATTGGGGGATGAAAGTAAGAAGAGAATATATGATCAAACGGGATCGGATCCTGATTCAAGAGGAGGATTCGGAGGAGGAGCAACATCAGCATCAACATCAGGATTTGCAAGAGGAGGAGGATTTGGCGGAGGACCAACCAATTTAGATGAGGATATATTTAATATGTTTTTCGGAGGAGGACCCGGAGGAGGAGCATCGGGACCAGGGTTTGCATTTGGTAATAATGGATTTACATTTCAAACATTTGGAGGAGGTGACCATCCATTTTTCAGTTCAAGACAATTTCCTCGAGGTAATAATGCAAGAAGACAACAACAGCAACAACAACAAAGAGCCCAGGAACCATCGATATATGATACATTAAAACAATTATTACCATTATTATTATTTTTAATTGTTCCAATTTTATCAGCATTATTTTCTGATAGTAATTCAACCCCCGATTATTCATTTAGTCCAAATAGACATTATAACACTGAACGTTATACCCCCAAGCACAAGATACCATTTTACATTAACCAACAAGCATTCAATAAGAAGGATTTAAGTGCACAACAGGTGAGGAATTTTGAATCAAAAGTTGAAAATTTATATGTGCAAGATAAACGATCCAAGTGTTCTAAAGAACAAATCATAAAGAATGAACTAATGGAGGAAGCACAGGGGTGGTTTACGGTTAATACCCGGAAATTGGCAGAAGCCGAAAGGATGCCAATGCCAAATTGTCAAAAATTAAGAGATTTAAATTTGATTTAATATTAATGTATGTAAGAATATAAACAATACCTAATTTAATTTCGATTGAAAAGTGTTACGGTCATCATCGGAGAATTCAATACCTGTAGTATCGCATTTCAAATCCATCAAGTCACTGGTTCCACAATAATATATTGGTAAATTATCAGTGATGAATTTTTCATGAGAAAGATTCATCCAGTCTTCTTTATGTAACGAACCAGCTAGCTTATCGTAAACAAAATTTCTCTTCTTCCCACCCACGGTAAGCAGGTTAATTTTGTAGAAAAGCCTTAATGGTTTACCATTTTGAGTAGAACAGGTGTACTTTGACGAAAATGACGCCGAAAACCCAACATTAAAGCCAAACTTAGTCCCAATCACCATGGGCAACAATAAAGACACACTGGCCCCACCCTTGGGGGTTATCGAGATGCCAATGGTGTGTTTGACACTGACAGAACCGGAGCCTTTACCAAGCGGGAACCCAAGACACGACGAAGCAGGAATCAAGTTTGGTTCGAAATAATTGCCAATTTCCACCAAGTCCAACTCTACGTAAGTCATTGTAGTTTTTGCAACTGCAGATTTCAAAATATCGTCGGAAGGTACCAAAACTGTATTTGAGTCTTTGAAAAACACTACGCTTTTCGGGTTCTTCTCAACCACGTACTTCATTTTGGCTTCATTAAACGCTTCTCTTTTAGAAACTTCGTACTTGGTAATGCCACCACTCTTGTACTCAGCAGGAAGCTCGGTGTCATCATCAATCACCACTATATTAGGTACTTTGGTTGCGTTAAAATAGCGGTGCTGGAGCCGGGTCTCGTATTGAGCATCCAATTCTGCCCGATGAGTCCCCAATAAGTCCAAGCTGATAGCCGGCACATCTACCATAACCGGCATGGCGCTCGTCCACGCAACAAGCAAAACATAAACCAACCGCATGGCTGGCCTTCTTAAACTTGGGGTTACCATTACCCCTTACCCTTATAAACTAGCTTTTTTCAGTATGCTTTTTGCAACCATTCTACAGAATATCCCAAACTCCAAAAACCTTAAAACCCAGCACACCATACGACTGTACCGCCATACCACGAGAATACCACCATGCCACGAGTGTACCACGAGTACTTTACAGAGTATACCATTTAGTATACCCATTAGTATACCCATTAGTATACCCCTTAGTATACCCCTTAGTATATGGTGTACAGACCTTTTCCCCAGCAAAAAACCCGTGCCGCACAAGGTACTCCTCCTCACAAACACCGCCATGGAGAGTCACATAGACATTGTTCCTCGAAAGGGCACTGGTTTTCCCTCTCAACCAATAAGGTAAGCTACTGGTGCCTTATCGTATATTATGTATTTAGCGTGATGAGCATTAAATAAGCTTAAATCCTATTCTCCTTAAACACTCCGCCAAAAAGGCACCCCGAACTAAATAAAAAAAAATATTTTCCCATACAAAACGAAAAAAAAAAAATATTCGATTCCCCATACAAAACAAAAAAAAAAACATCAACACTCCTTTCCTCTACGTTTTCCCGCTGACTTATTACTTCAAAAAATCAATTAGAGTACTCTTTCATTCATAAATCCCTTATTACCAATTGCAAGTAGTTCGATCACCGTTTGTGTAAGTCAGTGCTCCTAATAGCCTATTCCAGCAGCCTTTTTTGTTCTATTTGCTTAAGTGGAATCAGTTTATTTATAATTAGCGCTCAACGGTTTACAGGTTAGGGCGTTTATTTTTATTTACTCTCCAGTGGTTTTTTATAACTTTCCTTGACTTTTATCTTATCCTTGAAGAGAAGAGCTCTTTGCTGGTGTTTACAAAGGATATTTGCAGTGGTTGTTGATTTGTCTACCAGATTGCCGCTGGCTGAAAATTCCGATATTATAATCCAATTTCGCTACATCTTGAAGAGATTATTGTTTCAAGCCTACTAGATTAGTTTTTAGTGCATTGACTGGTGTATTGACTGGTGTATTGACCCGGTGTATTGATTATTGATTAGTCTATTGATCACCGATTATCGTCTACCATTGGATATCTTTTTTTATATCTTCCTTTTGGTTACATTGGAATCTCGATAATCTCGGTTTCCCTTCAAAAACTCCTTCCAGCTTTTTTTTTTCTTCTTTCATATACACACTTTGTGCTTTCTTTGTGTTTTAGTTTTTTTTTTTTTTTTGCTAATTTTTTCCTCTCTCAGGGAATTACTTCGACTTCATTTCGATCGACAATCCCTATAGATCATTGAAAGGAAAGAAAAAACTGACAGTTCTCCTGATTGGTAATTTGAATTACTCGTTTTTCGTTTTCTCTTTTATCTTTTTTTAAATTATTTTTTTTTTTTTTTCTCTTCCTTTGGGGATAACTAAGATAACTAAAGTATAGTTATCGTTTTGGTCATATAATATTTTTCAAAATTACTCCCATAAACAAGAAACCTCGCTTATCGCTCAGTCCAAAAGACAAAGGAAACAGCAGTGATAATAGCAATACTATAAATCAAACCAACATTACCCATATCAATAAATATAAGTCGAAAATGGATACTGCTGAACTATTAAGGATCCTCGATGATCCAGAGCTTTATAAACAAAAATCCTCCCTAATACGAAATGATATTATTAATCATATTAAAGCAAAAGATTTCAAAATTAAAAAATTGGCAAATGAGTTGGATACTTCTAAAACTGCAAATAAAGCTTTCAAGCAAGCATTATCAGAAATTGGTACCGTCGTTATATCAGTTGCAATGGGGGATTTATCTAAAAAAGTTGAAATTCATACCGTTGAATCTGATCCAGAAATTTTAAAAGTTAAAATAACAATCAATACTATGATGGATCAATTACAAGCTTTTGCTAATGAAGTTACTAAAGTTGCTACCGAAGTTGCCAATGGTGAATTAGGTGGTCAAGCTAAAAATGAAGGTTCAGTTGGTATTTGGAGATCTTTAACCGATAACGTTAATATTATGGCTCTTAATTTAACTAATCAAGTGAGAGAAATTGCTGATGTTACTAGAGCTGTTGCAAGAGGTGATTTATCTCGTAAAATTAATGTTCATGCTCAAGGGGAAATTTTACAATTACAAATGACTATAAATACTATGGTTGATCAATTAAGAACTTTTGCTTTTGAAGTTTCAAAAGTTGCCAGAGATGTCGGGGTCTTGGGTATCTTGGGTGGTCAAGCTTTAATCGAAAATGTCGAAGGTATTTGGAAAGAATTAACTGATAATGTAAATGCCATGGCGCTTAATTTAACAACTCAAGTTAGAAATATAGCTAATGTTACAACAGCTGTTGCTAAAGGTGATTTATCTAAAAAAGTTACCGCAGATTGTAAAGGTGAAATTTTAAATTTAAAACTAACAATTAATCAAATGGTGGATAGATTACAAAATTTTGCTTTAGAAGTTACTACTTTATCTCGTGAAGTCGGTACTTTAGGTATTTTAGGTGGTCAAGCTAATGTTCAAGATGTTGAAGGTGCTTGGAAAGCAGTGACAGAAAATGTTAATCTAATGGCAACTAATTTAACTAATCAAGTTAGATCTATTGCTACAGTTACTACTGCTGTTGCTCATGGTGATTTATCTCAAAAAATTGATGTTCATGCTCAAGGGGAAATTTTACAATTGAAAAATACTATTAATAAAATGGTG